CTCTACACTCCTCTACCAAACCTACACTTCTCTTTTGGTAGTGTTTGAGTTAAGACATACTCTTTTGTGTGCCTAGTGCTTCCAGTGTGACAAACAAAATTGTTTTTTTCACGAAGTGGTTCCTTTTGACTTTATTTTATTTTATACCATGACCAGGTGGTTAGGGTGCTCATCTCACAATCTGAGGGTCGCGGGTTCAAATCCCCGTCACACCAAACATGCTCGCCCTTTCAGCCATGGGGCGTTATAATGTGACAATCAATCCCACTATTTGTTGGTAAAAGAGTAGCTCAAGAGTTGGTGGTGGGTGGTGATGACTAGCTGCCTTCCTTTAGTCTTTCACTGCTAAATTAGAGATAGCTAGTGCATATAGCCCTCATGTAGCTTTGTGCAAAATTCATAACAAACAAACAAACTTGTATCTCTATTTCTGCACTCAACATTTGTGAACCTTTCTTGTGCTATGAATCATGTTACCACTTCGGGGGTTCACACCAATGACCAGTGTTTTTTCTCAGGCCTCAGGTACGGGCATCCCGACAATGGATTTCTCTTTGCTTCAGCTCTGTCATTACATATGTGGTTTTTTTGGTTGTTAGGACCTTATAGGTTGGGATGCAGTTTTGGCTTGGGTCAATTTACCCTTAACCATCTCAAGGATTTATGTCTTGGACCTTTTCTGAGATGTTATGTCTTTGATACAGTCTCAGAAACTATTAAGCCTCGACTGACATTGGTCTGGCAGCAATCAACTTTTATGACTTTTGTAGCTCGTTTGTCTCAGCCAGAGCCTCATTTGCCACCTATTCACAACCCTTACCCATTCCTTCTAATTGGGGTATTTCTTCTTGTCAATTTCCTTGAAGACACAACCCCTGTTGCTAACAGTGCTGGTGACTACCCAGTGGGAGCTTGGTTATTAGAGTCTGTTCCTCACTGGTGTCCTTTCGTGGATGATCAATGGGTAATACAGGTTCTATCAGAAGGATTCATTATTCAGTTTTTTCCCCACCTCTCATTTCCTTCCCTCCTCCTCAAGATCTCTATCAGAAACAGTTTGAGAATTGCTTTTGCAGTGGGCGATCGAACTGGTACAAAGAGGGCATTGGATCTTCTCATTTTCTGGGACCTTTGCCATCATTGGAGTTCTCCCCAATTAGATGCTTTTGCCATGAGCCTCAATTCCAAGTTGTCCCTCATTTGGTCACCTGTAACGCATAGGAAGTGACATCCCTTGTCTCTGACACAAGTTTTCAACCCAGCGATTGTAAAGGCTGGTTGTTGCACTAACTTTGGGAGCTTGCAGGGCCAGGGCTGGGACAAATTATTGAAAAATGACTTGGCTGTAATTTTTAACTTATATTTCTATGGCACTTAAATATAAATACAAACGTATTGCATTTTTAATTGTCCGACATATTTAAGAAACAATATTTTGAACAAATGTTAAAAAGTAACCAAAAGAGGACAATATTACTGAATTCCAAAAATAAATTTTTTTGACTGGTTATGTTACTTTGTGATTTCTTCAATTACAGATCACTTATAATAACCACCAACATTTTGTTTAAGACGTGTCTATTTGCATGAAGTATTAAAACATTTAAAATTGATATTTATTTGATGTAATCAATACTAATTTATTTCATCAGCCATTTTTAATACTTGCATTAAATGTGCTCACTGGCTACCATTATTTATCATGGTAAAACATGCCCTACAGTTCTGATTAGATACCATATATTTTAGGCAAAATATTTTTAAAGTTTTTTTCAAAAGAATTGCCATAGAATAAAATTTGACAGCACTAACTACATTTGGACATTTTTACATACACTGTAAAGTTTATTATTACATTTCTCATATAATTACACCTTCAATAATGATATTTATAGTAGTAATACAATACCTTGATGATGAAAGAAAAGGACAATAATTAGCTCTTTATTTCAATTATTTAATAAAGTCTTTCAAGCAGTTGGTTTGGATTAAGAGTTAAAAAAGTCTCTCTGACTGAAAGCCTATCTCTCTTTAAGTAAGACAAAATTTCTCACTGATACACTGTAAAATATCACACGTAAACAGAAAGATGTCATATATATACTTCAACTCTGTTAATCAGTACTGCCTACTTCTTTCAATTTTACTAAAATAAACTGTTGTATAATAACTAAAATAATTCAAAACATGGCAACAAAAGGTTTAATTGCTTTCAAAGAATGATACATTTATCAAAAACTCTTTTTCAAGAAAGGTTCACTTTCAAAAAGCAGTTAAGAATTTTGAGCATTTTTCTTTTCAGGAATACTGTAATCACTTTGTATTCGACAACAGTATAAAACAGATAATGATGAACCTGAATCCTTGTTATTATTACAACTTTCTTTTATAAACTGATAAATTCAACGTATCTCTGCTAAAGTGGTAGCTACAACAATGAAGATACAAGCAATAAATAAAATCTAACTGTCTTAATAGTTCATACTCAGTTATTCTATGAACGATTTCACATCTGTACTGTTCAGAAGACATTGCTAATTCTAAACCTACCTGTGAGGAAAAGCTTTTATTTCTTCCATTAGTTGTAATTTCAAAGGAGTGGATTCATAATCTCGAAAAATGAATGGTTTCAGAATTCTGACATACATGAATAAATGTACAGATTAAAAAAAGTGAAAACAAAATTCATACAATCAAGTCTTTTTTATAGAAGAAATTTAAATGGTTTTGTGAGTTTCCTTTGAAATATAGAAATATTTTTGTTTAAATGAACAGAGCAAAAGTTGGTTTCAACATTAAATTTCTGGGTTAATCTGTTTGTTAACAATCTTACTGAATTTTTAATTTCGAAATCATTATTAGTAAAAATATAAAATATCTCATTAGTTTATACTAATACTATAATTTATTATATATAGATCACAAATCATGATAACTTTATTCAAATGAACTATTTTCCTTAAGCTGCTATCTTATATTATGAAACTTAATCTGTGAAAAACCTTAAATTCAATATTTTCAAACTTTAAAATGACGACATTGAAGGTAAAAACAAAATGCTGTTTTATCATACTTTATTTCCTTTTTGTATTAATATAAATATACTTTTTTTCTTATAATTATTCACGTATGAATGTATTTATGTTTGTACAAATTTATAAATACATCGAAACGTCAATACGTTGAAATTGGGTATCTAGAATACATGGCTTATGTCAAAGCTATAATTCAGTCCTATCTAGTTTCTTATTTATTGTATCTAATATACTACATTTAGCATGGTTCAAATTAACACAAAAATACAAAGCCCTATAACTCAAGAGCTTTTGAAAGGTTAAATTTTCTTCATTAGGAGCAAATTGATTTCCAGTTCTTTAAACCCACATTTTTCCTATTATGGACCAAAAGTAAGGTCAAAGTCTCAGATTGACTATCTTGATCCTTTGATATCTAAGATAAATTCCCAGAGTCCCTGAGATTTCAATATACTGATGTTTAACTGTGTATATGTGGGTATGTATGTATGTATCTCTCTCTCTCTCTCTCTATATATATATATATAATAGTGTGTGTGTTAAGCTTTGTTGTGTCAAAAACAAAAATTAACAAACACTAGATTAATAGTGAAAAGCACGAATATATTTTAATAATTCTTTAAGATACTGTTAAAAAGAGTTCAGTCCTTGTGAGTATAATAAATGCTTGCTTGAAACACTGTATTAGTTAAATTGTTAAATTAGTTAAATCATTAGTTAAACTGCTATCCTAAAAAATTAATGATGTTGGAATCTAAAAAATACTGTAACTGGGTATTAATGATTTTTAAAGGACATATTCTGTAATCATTTTTGAGCATATTGGTGTGTGTGTGTATGTATGTGTATATATAACATTTTGCTTAAGAAATAAAATTCTAAATATTATAAAACAAACATCCAACTGAACTCTTAGGAAGTTATTAAGAGTAAAATAATAAAATTAAAAATTAAGTCTAGCTTTCACATGTAAAAGAACATCAACATTACTTACTTCTAAGCTCAATATATAAAAGTATAGATGTGTTTACAATTCTATATAAAACACAAATAAACCCTGGAACAATAAATACCAGGTTAGGAAAATCGACCGGCTAACAAAAAAGTACATAAATGAGAGTAGACTGTACAAAAAATAACAATTGCAATATGTATGATATGATTGATTTCTATATGCTAATACAGAAACATGTAACCATGGTTATGAGCTGTAACACTATGTTTACCACCTATGTATTTGGGTCATGGTGAATTTCTAACCATTTTATATTGTAATGCAACCACAGGTAGATATTGCTAGAATAATATGTCACAAGCTCGTTCCAATGAATGGTAATCATTTAATGAGGTATTGAATGATGTACAGAAAAAGCACACACAGTTTTGAAGAAGGGAGCCTTCAATATTCTTCATAACAGTAAAATAACACACTGAAATTCATTAAGGGCAGCAAGTGGTTTCAAACACAGAACCTAAGCCAACCTATTCATCCATAAAGTGAAGGCTGTGGTTACAAAAAGCAAGCATATCTCATGGTAGTGTTAACACAGTAACAAACAGAGCTTTGAAAGTTTCAAAGATTCACAAACCAAAAGTTCAGAAGCTTCTAGTTACACCTCAAACATAAGAACTGTCTTGTCCATAAGAAAAATGGCCAAAAAAATTGGAAACATACCAATTTCATTGCCCACATAAATATAAAAGTCTCACAACTAAGTTTCACTGGACTTTAGCACCATTGGTTTAGCTTAAACATGGTAATGAAGTGAAGATTCACACACAATCGAAGATTTGTGGTAATTCTGGAAAGTCATTTAGCCTAAGATTGACTTCATCATCCTTTGAAGAAGCTAGTTACAATTTATTGAAAAAAGCACTGATTGCAATAAATCTAAGTATAAACACTTTATTGTACAGCATATGATTGCTAATATCACCTTAACTGTAAAAAACAAAATATATTTTACACTAATCACTGAAGAGAGAAACTAGAACCACTCAAGAAAGCATAGTGCATAAGGTATTGTGAAATCCTCACCTTGAAGTATATGGACTAATAATGCTATCAAGATGAGTATCTTCCAGACCCATTAATCGTGTAATAAATGAAGTGTGATGCTCACTTCGACCATGCACTGTATAATTCTTTCTCTGAAATGAGATAAAAGTTAATTTTTTTTTCTCACAGAATAAAATAAAACAGCAGACAAAACATATGTATGTGTCCACAATACAACTTTTCCACATGATAAATGTAAAAATTAGAGGAAAAATTAAAATTTATAATAGTTATTTATGTTGCTAATTGAAACTATGCAGAAAACAAATACTTAAAAAACTCCCGTTTTTAAGTCATATTATTACAAACCTTTAAATTTTACAGCAAATGTTTTCTAATGAATCTAAAAATTACTAGTCATAAAAAGGATGTGTTTGAAAAATGTATAGTATATAATAATATTCAATTTACAAACACAATTAATAGTACCAAAGAAGTAAAGTTTAACCTGATATCTATCCAAAACATGAAGTCCTGACTGGTGACCAAGAAGGTGTGATGGAACATCATCCTTTTTCTGAAATTCAATAAATGAATGCATGAATGAAGGATATGGGAAAACAGTCTGCAAAATGGTACTTAGGAAGTAATAGCTATCTGCCTTTATTTTAATAATTTTCTTTTGTAAAAACTATCAAACTGAAAGAAAAGAAACACTCTTTATTTACACATTACTTTATCTTTTAGTTTCACTGTTTAACTAATGTCTCATGAAATGTTGATGGCACACTTTTTACTGACCATAGATTTATCTGCATCATCTATTCATGCAAAATCTAATTTTACAAAAGTTATAGTTTTCTTAAATGAAAATGTATTTCCGATAGGTACTTCCCTCTTCTCACAAGATTAGATTTTTTATTTTGTGCTGCCCTCTGTATGCAAACGTTTTCAGAAATGCATATCACAAGCCTTCATCATCCCTCTGTTGGAGTCCAAAGTTCCAACACGTCTCTCATGCAAATCATCATGCATCACCTCTCCACCAATAGGAGAGCACTACTATCATGTGACGTAAGTGACTCCTTCTACATGCCACTACTGAACTATCATTTCGAAGTTTGGCAGAAGACACGACCACAAGAAGACTGTGGGGAGAATGGTTGGGAAATGTGAATGGAGAGAAGTATCTATTGGAAATACATTTTCATTTAGGAAAATTATAACTTCTGATAAGTTACTCTCTCTTCACTCACAAGATTAACTTGAATCCCACATTGAAATAGAGAAGGGACCAGTGCGAGGGAAGCACAGACGTATCCCTCGGAAGCATCCAGAGAACGCCCCCGATATGAGAGGAACAGATCAAACAATCTAAGGAAGGGCACTGCACCACATCTGAGCAAGGTATCTCTTTGCCAGAAACATCGACATGATCAGGAGGACCAGACATGGTGGAATATGAAGGAAGCACATCCACATGGGAGAGGATAGTTTAGCAATGTGATTTTAAACAGAAATTAGAATCACTCAATCCCATGATGGAAAGTGGCCAAGTGAGGATGTGTCCCATGGTGTAGAGTGGATAGGGAGCAATGGACCGTACTTAGTAAGTCAACTATATCCTAAATCTCACTCACTGGGTACCAACATCATTGTGAGGGTAGTATGAGGATCATACTGTCTTTATCTCAAGTCCCAGAGTCAAGAGTGAACCTAACATTCGACTCCAGGAACTCACAGGGTAGCCTAATGCCAGAGATCTGGGAATGTGTCATTCGGAATCCAAGGGAAGTCCATCGCATGCACTCAACCTCTGCAACTGTGAAACTAGCCTGAAACAACCCCAGGTTGGTAACAACCTTTTCACCAAACAAGGAAAACCCAGAACGGAAGCAGACACAGGTCACAAAGACCTTCTGCGACCCACAACACATAAGACAAGTCAGGAGGGGAAGATGGACAATGTGACTGGTTCACTCAATCTTCCAAACCTCACTCGTTGGGTACCAACAACCACACAGAGGTAGGAGGAGACACACAATCAGAGGGGTGAACTGCATTTGGGCATCTCAACTCTGGGAATTAGTTACTGATCCAGGGGACTTGTAACTCCCTCTACACTGGCAGAACACCACTGCTCTATTATGAACTGAATGGTTATAGCCATCTTTGTGGAACCCATCCAGCAGGTTGCTTCCATGGTCAACCATCTTAGCGGCTTGGAACTGGTAAGGACTCCCGTACTACACTGGAAGAAAGGGGGAAAAAGTGCAGTGGATAGTCTGGAGGGATTGCAACAACCGAGATAGTGCAATGGGTGATTATGAAACCCTATTTCTAAAAGCAGACCACACTGATTTATTCAATCTAGGCATGGCAGGGATGGGCAGCAATCCTCTTCTACTTTACCCATGCCATCCATGGGTGGTATGGTCCAGGACAGGCATATTATGATGCAATTACCTCGAGGAATTTACACTTTAGTGATTTTGTGAAACACTCCATCTCAAAGGTGGAGCAACCAAGGGAACCAAAGTTGAGTGGGCCAGTAAGGAGCAATCAGAAGGTCCATGCATGGATAAGGAAGACCATCCGATGAAGTAAATGGATGGGAGGGTAAACATAAAGGAACAGATAAGACCAATCCTGGCTGAAGGCATCGACAGCCAATGCTCGAGGATGGAGAACTGTGGACCAAAACCGAAGTAATTTGTGATTGAGGGCAGTGGCAAAGGCATCAATATGGGGTGCACCCAGATACAGACAGAGCAAAGGAAAAATGGTAAACTTCTAAAGAAGATGGTTATAAGGAATCAGCTAACAAGGAAGCAACTCAACATGTGAAACCAGATCCTCTCGTTAAGTACCAGACAAAAGCCAGGCGTGAAGATTGAGGATGGGGAGATTGGGATGTAGGAGGCTGGATTGAGGTTGATGGAAAAAAGGAGGAGGAAGTGGAAGAGGAACTGGTGGTGTCAGGAGCAGATGCTGTAACTTGGGAAACCAAGGTTGTGCCGATCAAAAAGGGTGCTATAAGGAAGACTCAGCAAGGAGAAGAATGGACCAGAAAAATCACCCAATACAGCAACTGGATTGAAGGGTACACATACAGGTATTTGTGTGACCAATCCTGGCTGAAAGCATTGACCGCCAAAGCATGGGGGTCTGTGCACCATTTTTTTCTGGACCAATTTCATTTGACAGACATCGTGAATACAGTTATTCATAAGTTATTCCATGGTATAAACAACTATGGTTTCTTTGCTGCGTTGTTCAAGGAAAAGGAGGTATATCTGCACGAGTTTCAACCTAAGTCAGACAGAAAACGGCACGTTGCCTGGACAAACTTCATATCAAGAACTTGTGATAAATGGAGTCCCACTGAAAGTTTCCATGTATGTAGTGAACACTTTTTGGAATCAGACTTTGAAAATAAACTACAATTTGATATGAGATGTGCAAAAAAAAAACGGTGTAAAGAAAGATGCAGTGTGTATCCAAAGTTCAAGGGAAATCCATCAAGCATGGCAAGCAGCATGAAAACTTCCCCAAATCTAAGGTTTGCCTCTTAGACTTATCCAGTTAGATTCCTTTGGATAATCATTTGCTTAAGTTTTTTTGTTTTGTTTTATTTGTAGTTAAGCACAAAGCTATGCAATGGGCCATCTATGCTCTGCCCACCACGGGTATCAAAACACAGTTTCTAGCATTGTAAATCTGAAGATATACCACTTGTGCCACTAGGGGGTGGGGCATTTGTTTAAGAAACTAATAATTACTGCTCAAATAATTTATTTACCCCACACTGATGTAAATAGGTTATAATCTGCTCTATCCAATCATAGTTAAACATTGTCTATAGCTACTTTCAAAGCTGTGTTTCATTACTAACTGTCCAGACCATATGCTGTTACATAAAAGAAAGGTGGAAACGAAGAATTGTAGTAATAGAACCACTGAAAAGGAAAATTGTGTGAACAAGAAGACATGAATAATTATATTCTCAAGAAATAATGGTTTCTTTCCAAATATTAAATTATATTTTGGGAATGGAAAAATTCTTTAAATGTGTTGTTTATGGGTGAAAGTGTTCAGAAATAAAAGTTAGGATTTTTTTTTCTACATAAATGTTAAGTATTGACAAAATATTAATTTTGAAATATTTTTTGAGATAAAAATTGTTGAAAATGAGTTAGAATTATTATTTTGTCTAAAATTTGAAACTAGTGCAGGTGTGCACTTGTAACCTGACAGATGCTAAGAGGTTTGGATAAATGTGAATGCATATAAGGAAAGGGAAAATATCACTGAATACAAGTTAGAAAAATGGAAACCAATGTTTTATTTTTATATAAAACATAAAAACGTTTACAACAAAAAACATACTATTTAATTGCATAATATTTACAGGCAATAGCAGATTGGCTTGCCAGGCAATGAGGGCAAAATCCCAGTAGCCCCCTAGAACTCGAGCACGGGTGCCCCTTCAAATTTTATAGTTTTTCTATTTAATAACATTTAAACCTGAAATTAAAACCAGTGTCCTTTATCTATTTGTCCATGCCCCTTTTTTGGTAAATAATAGCTGCAAGTGAAATTTCATAAACATTTTTTTGTTTTAGCAGATCTACTGGTGTGTTTATAAAACCTGAATGATTGCTGACAATTCTATAATGTGCTTAAAACATAAGCTAAAACTTGAGTTTCCACTGTATGCCTCTCATTTTAGAACAGCTGATCAGACATGACTATTATTGCTGCTATAGGTCTATGAACAAGAACATGATGTCCAAAAGAATGTCTAAATAAACTACTTCCCTTAAAAGTTTTGGGATAATTATATCTGACTGGATAAGTCTGAGAAGCAAACCTTTGATTTAAGGAAGTTTTCATAGTTTATTTAGGCATTCATTTCTTTCCTTAAAAGTTTTGGATAATTATGTCTGACTGGATAAGTCTGAGAAGCAAACCTTTGATTTAAGGAAGTTTTCATAGTTTATTTAGGCATTCATTTCTT